ATGCAGTGACCACTTTCGAGCCACCCTCCTGAGAAAGAGTTGACACCTCAGACCTGGCAATTCAATAGGCTACTCTCAAAACAGTCTTTTCCCAAAACAAGCCACATGGATGTTTCCTGTTACACTTCTTCACTACAAATCCCCCATGCCCCCCTTGTAATCAATGTTAGTAAGCGACATGGTTGCTGTTTTACATCTCCAGTACAACTCCCCCATACCCCCTTGTCATCAATGTTACTGTTACAGATGTTCTGAAACAAAGCGGCCACCCCCAAAACACGCCTTCAACATTGCTTTCATGGGGGGTGCGGGGGACGTCAGTGTTCAATCACGGAGCTTGGTACTTGAGAAAGAGACAGCTTCAAAACTTGTGACTGGAGGTGGGCTTGAGAATTTGTAATTGGCTGAGTCTCCGCGTGAAAATTATAAGTAGCCGGAGGCATCCGCAAGTGTACGGAAGAGAAGGAAGAAAGGAAACATTTTGCAGGCGGCTGTCAATTCGCACCAGGTCACACCACATGATTCTTATGACAATTAAAGCCAGTCTCTTTTCCCTTTTCCAGCAACCCGAACAGAAGAAGGAGCAATTGAAACCGGGAATGGGATTCCATGGGGTCTGCGATTGGTGTTCTATATTGTTTCGGAAGAACAAGCATATGTTATGCTACAATCGGGTGCATCGGCGGCCTAGAAAACGAGTCCGCGTTCGCTGGCCTTTTGAGGCTTCAGACTCTCGGGCCCCGGTTGTATATATGTTTTGTTTAAACGGCATATGGCATGTTGCAAAGCATCATTGGATTTTTTTTGAAACATGCCAATCATAAGTTTTAACTAAAGGTTCAGGCGCCGGAATAGCGTAGCCCGCACTCGGAATGCCCGTGCGGTCGTTTGATGTTTTGAGAGCCAGGATGGCCCGGGCTATCCGTGGGGTTGGAATAGCTATATATATATATATACTGTACATATTCTACATTCTACATAACTTGCTCATACATTTAGCCCATCAATGTCATTAATATTAGGGTGATACATTTACGCCATGCATGCCTGGTGTGAACTCTTCCAGTCTCATGACTCATGGGTTGGTTTGGAATCGGACATTGAACGCCGTTGTTGGTCAAACCGCCATGCTCGGAGATCGAATGGCCCATCCTTCAAACTTTGGCAGATCGGAGTTAGTCATCCTGACGGTCAATTTGTGAGGCACAGTGCATCCCTAGGGATCATTTCGTTCCTTCTGAGAAGGTACGGCTGGACCCTCCAAACCTACAGGACAGTGTCTCCAATCACATTCTGAGAAGGTACTTGGATCCCTAGCACATCACAGACAGTGGCACCTGGCAACCTTCTCAAACTCAAGCCAAACAATCGACTATCCTGGACTTTTTCCATGGCTTTGTTATCAAAGCCAGTGAGCAAGACTCTCAACCTGATTGGTGTTGGTAGGTATTCCTTCATGTCCTCAAAGAGTTTGATTTGATAATCATGCACATTGTCCATGTTGACACCAGTGGAGTATGCGCTCGTTTCAGAATATTCAATGCTAGTTGATATGACATAGTCATGTAATATTTCCCACTAGCATCTCCTTCACATCTTCCTATTGAACCACCGTGTGTGCACAGTGGTAGGTCGATTGACATTAGGTGCCTCAATTCTTGCGGAAGTGCGAGTGGTGGAAAACCGGGGGCACGGATTTGCCTTGGTGCCGCTGTGAAAGGTGTGTTTCCATGCCACCTGTTCTCTTCTATGTGTGGGATACCATAAAACGTTTTTTGGACCAGGCCGAACTTGCTAAGCAACATCCAGAATTGCTCCATAATTGGACTCATGAAGTACCCTCAAAGCGCCCTGTGCCGCGTGCCCGCACGTGCCTTGTATGCCTCGCTTTCGGGACACGTGCCGTCTCTCTTCACCCATCGAGGAAGGGCAACTTCGTGACACGGAACATCCGAAAGGCTTTCAGATATACCAGGCTGGGTGCTGGGGTGATTTTTCTTGGAGCACGCGAAGGGCTCCGTGAGCTCAGTGACATCCAGTGACATCCAGTGACCAATGCCGAGCTTGTTTTGTGAACGATATTATTTTGTTTTTTGGACGGTTGCCTGTGATGTTCACAGATGTTCACCACGCAGGCTCAATTAGACTTCAGCCTCCTGGGGGAAAAAAAGAACCACCGTGAAGGGATGAGCTCTTTCCTCGTCCGCGTGGCGGCTTTGCGGTCAGGAAAGTGCTACTCGGCATTGAGCAACGAAGGAGTGTGTGGATCGAGGAGGAGGCAGCTGACATGCTCCTAGGCACGTGGAGTCTCAGCAGCATCTCATGTGCTTCCGTCGAGGGAGCAGGAGTCAGGAGTTCTTATATCAATAGGACATCAGAGGTGATGTCGAACTAGGGCAAAAGCCGGGTCTCCAGAAAGAAATATACAGTAGAACACATAGATCATAATAGATCTAATCCCGTTTTCTAAGGTACTTTGGAATACTTTGGAGGGTCCAGGTACTGTATCCCCCTCCTGTATCCCCAAAGACGCTGCCCCACCGAAAAGGGACGGCCAAACAACTCGTCCCCAGGTCGTTTGTGTTAGGACTGTGCACATGGTGCGCTCCTATTGGTCGAGGCTCCTACTTGGGCGCCCCGAAAGTCTTATCCTTTCTACATGGGCGCCCGCGGGGGGATGGTTGAACCTCGACGTTTCCATCGAGGTTAGAACTCCCGCGGCGGACGTGTCGAGACACTCTTGCGTTTCACGTCTCGTTGTGAGGAAAGATTTCCAGAAGTCTTTGGATGACGCGCCTTAGCTCAAAAAGTGCATGGAACAACTCTCAGCTTAACAGATGTTAACAGCACCACCCAAGGGGTGCTTATTGGATGGACCAAAACGCATCTTCAAGAAAAGTGTATAAACCAACCTTTGGGTGGTGGTCTTTGGAATGTATTTGGACGATCTCCTCTTCATGGCCTATCCGTGCAAAATGCAGCTGCATCCAAGGTAAGATTCTTCATCCAAGTTAAACCAGTCTTCTCACATGTTCGCGCTGGTTTTCGTTCACTTCACCAGGGCCGGGCAATGCACCAGAAGCGCGCTAGCCGCTTGAGCTGCTGAAAACCGTGGGGCTCGATGTGCCGACTGGGTGGATGAAGCCTTGGGCATTGTTTCATCCTATTCAAAGTGGACCACGTAGTTGCCGCAGATGATGTCATTGATTTGTCACACACCCGGAGGATTGATAGGTTTGAGATATGGTTTGATCTATCCAAGTGCGGTCTGGGCGCCATCCTGGAAGGCTCAGCTCTTCTTTCCAAGCGCGGCCCACCCGGGTCCCACCCAGTGCTTCGCAGTGCTCGAGGGTCCCACATCCTCGATCAAACACAACACTCGCAGCCGTCCACGTGCCTGTCATGTCACGAAAGCTAGCATGCTAGCTGAGTTCTTCTTTGCTTTAGCAATTGGTAGTGGGATGAGCTGTGTGCCTTAAAGCTTGATATATCGCACTAAGCCCCTCCCCGTTGGGTGTAAACGGTGGCTTGGTGTAAACGGTGCTGCTGCTGCCGCTCTGCTGGATGCTGCTGCTGTTTGCTGCTGCCGCTGGTTGCCGCTTCTGTAGCTGCTGCTTTGCTACTTGTTGCGGCTTGGTGCTGCTGCTGCTGTTACTGACGACGCCGCTGCTGCTGCTGCTGCTTGCTGCTTGCTGCTTGCTGCTGCTGCTGCTGCTTGCTGCTTGCTGCTTGCTGCTTGCTGCTGGCTGGCTGCTGGTTGCTGGTTGGTGGTTGCTGCTGGCTGCTGGCTGCTGGCTGCTGCTTGCTGCATAGGACTTGTACTTCACTGTTACAAATTCTTTACCCCTATTTCTAACCTAATGCATGCATAAGCGGGGGGTAAATTTACCCCCCAGATTTGCCATATAACCATAAGCCGGGTATTTCCTCAAGACACTCTACTCCATATATCTTTTACCCGTGCTTCTCCTACGTACAGTCCGTGTGATGTCAGAAATGCTTACCCCTCTTTCCGACTCAAGGCATACAAAAGCGGGGGGTATGCTTTGCCGACTATGTCACTAGTACATCCGGTGCGATTCGGCTAGCTTTCGACCTCCTCCCCCTGGCCTCAAGTTCCAAGAGATGCGACCTGGGACTTCCAGGACGGACTGCCGAGAAACGGCCAGGGGGGGGTCCATGGGGCGGCATATATTCCAGTCCCATGGAGTGTATGGGTTATCAAAAACGTGGGAGTCGCACTGATGGTTGATTTCTTGGTGGTGGTTGAGTGCCTTGAGAGCAGCTCGAAGCGAGGCGTCATTCTTTTCAGCTCAACTGAGGCAACTTCCGGCAGCTTACTGAGGAGATGTACACCTCCGTAGGCCACTGCTCGAAGCAGCCCGGGTGGGTGGAGTAAGTTGTTTGTTTTGTTTGTTTGGGTGGCTGGGTTGATAGAGACCCAGGCCTTGGGAGGGCCCGTTTGGTTTTTTGAAGAGAAAGTGATGCAGTGCATCCTGTTTAAGTGGTGTGTGCCCCTATTTTGTGTTTATATATGTTTTAAGGATCCATTGATGAGCTGATGTTCAGGAAGTTCCTCAACGATCCTCTCAGCAATGCATAAGATTTGGCACCAAATCCTGTCACGGACCTCCACCCGAAATCCTGTCACGTGCTGGTTCGGGATTTATGGTTCTGATGTGCATGTTCGGACGCCTTCGACCTACGTCTTCGACATGCGCCTGTTCGACATGCGCCGTGGGGGTCCTGTTGGTCAGGAGACCGAGGTGTTCGTCGTGGACTCTTCAGGGAATTGAGGCGCAGCAGCCGCGCGCGGTGTGGCGTGGGAACATGTGAAAGACTTGATTTTCCATGGTTTTCCAACCATAATTTGGGACACCTCGTAACATCCAATGAACCTGAAAGCAAACTGAACATCGTGGACTGAGCATCCTTGTTGGATGACCAATCGTCAGGTTTGATGTGGTGAAGCGCAATGCCCTGAAAGAACTCCAGTGTCTTGGCGTAAAAAAGCGCTCTGAGTTGTTCGAGCTTTGCCTGGAGGATCCAGCCTCCAACGAAGTTGATTCCAATGATTCTTGATGCGATTTCGCAGTTCAAAAGTTGCAGTGCTGCGGTGGTGAGACGAACATCTCGCGCTAGTGCCCCTTCTTCGGTCCAAACATGTCACACTGAGTTGATCGAGCTCGGCTGAGGAACGGGAAAGAGGAATTTCAGAAGATACGAGACCTGCTGTCAAAGCTTGCAGGGCGCTTGGCTCCTCAACTGCAGAGCGAAGGTAGACCAGGTGATCCTGAGGTGGCCCTTGGACCGCCATGGTCCTTGAGGCAAACGAGTGAAGCTATGTGGCTTGGTTCTTCAAAGTGACCAAACCTTCATCTCCTGAGGTCCTGGTGTTTTTGGCTACCAGAAATGCCTATCAAAAGCCACGTCTCTTAGAGGGGACGGTGCCTTTTGGTCACTTGGAAGAAGGTGAAGTACGCCCAGTTGATTCACCTGTGGTTAGTTGATTCACCTGTGGTTTTTGAAGCGCTCCAGTACGTAGAGCCCTGAGGCATACCCTCTTGGCGCCAGTCAGGGGATCCGGCGACCTCGGGGTGTTTGTCCATCAAGCAATTGTGGCTTTGTGAATTTTGGAATCATGTTCAACAAGACGACCAAGACATTCTATCACATTCTATCAACCTAGAACCCAAGCATGATTCTGGAGGTGGCCAAACAGGCCATAGAAAGTCGCTCCACTCCACACCAGAAGTTCCATTTCAGAATGGATTTTGCTGTCCCGAAGTGAGTGAAGACACTTGGGACACCCCAATCCATATTGAAATGCACTCAATTTGAAACTGGCCAGCGGTTTCTCGCTTCGTTCCCGGCTGTGGAAGCGGGTGCGATGCGTGGTGGCTTGCTGCCCGTCGTCTCCAGGCTTTGCAGGAGGATCGCTTTCCGGAGCTGACCCAGGAGGGCGACCAGCAGAGACCCACGGCCACCTTCGTGGCTGGGCAGAAAGAACGTGCGCGCGGCGCGACGGGGGCGCGCTGGGCGGTGCCCCTTTGGGCTTGGAGAACACCAACAAAACGAGTAGTCCGTTGGTGGTTCAGTTGGTGTATGCTGATGTTTTTTGGATGGGGAGCAGTGATTTAAGCCGGCAAACCTAAAGGAGGTGAAAGAAGCCTAAAAGAAGCGATTCAGAGTGGACGCCTATTATACGACTTGTGCCCTGGTCGAGTGGTCCTTGGCTGCAGGAGATCTCCACTCCAGGACTCCTCTTCGCAGTGACGGACTCGCTGCACTCGCTGCTTCGTGAGGTTCTGGTGACGAAGGGTTTCTGCGAAGACCAGCCCAAGCGCCGCAAAGCCTCCAAATGGGAATGCGAGCCCGGACTGCCCAGCCGGCCATTGGGAGGGGGGTGGAGGCAGAGTAGCAGGTGGAGTAAGCCATGAGATGACCTGCAAAGAAATCTGTTGACAGTTCAGGGGTCCAGTCCGGGTCCCACATGTTCTTCCCATGGTCTTTCCCCAACGTTGAGAAGGTGCCTTTTTTTTTGACCCACAATCGCCAGCTGCCAGCTCACCTTTGGTGGATGGGGATGATGTCTTCGTCAAGTCATCTTGCCCATCCGGTGCGATCGCGTTGGCCATGAAAAACCCCGTGACGAACGTATCAGACCTGCGCAGACTCCCAGCCAAGTGGTGCTTGTTGTCGATGTTCATGGATTGCACCGGCGGGGCGAATTGGGAGAATGACTACGACCCAGCTGAAGCGTTGCTTCTTGGGTCACCAGAGCTGAAGCGTAGCATACCACGTAGCTGTCAAAGAGGTCGAGTCAGTTGCAGTCCGTTGATGAAGTGGCGTCAGAAAACCCATGCAGGTCTCTTGCAGGGTCTTGTGATGTTAAGGTTAAGTGGGTGATTAAGTGCTGAACACTGGATATGTGCTCTTACCCTGACACTGATACCTCTTGTTATTTTCCAGCACTGCAAGCATCTCAGGCACCCTTCTCATTTCACAAGCAACATCAAGCAACCAACACGTTTCGAAGGCGCATTTTGAAGCCAAACCACCGGCCACATATCACCGTGTCGCGCCCGGCAGTTCCTGTCGCGCCTCGCTGGCCTCAAGCAGCACTCGTGACCCTCGTCGACCTCAGCACGCCATGCGCGGGAGACTTGGAATTCGGCGTGCCTCCATCCTGGACAAGTGCAGCATGAGCCCTGAACACATCGGGCCCTGAAGTCTTCGGATGCTTCAGGAGAGATGTCAGGAGGACCTTTTTTCAGAGAAGTGTTTAACCCAAGCCGTCCATGATTATATGGACCCCTACAGTCAACCACCCGACTGTAGCGTCAAGTTCGGCCGTACATGGATGGTCTAGTTCGGGTACGGGAGTGAGTAGACTTGAACATTCGCCCTCTCCTGATGCCTGAAAAACGATGAAAAACGCGCATGACTCTGAGAGGAAGAGGAGGAGGAGGATCTCCATCGCCTCTCCGTCGTTCCCACCGCGCCGTCGTTCCCACCGCGCCGTTGCTTCGGACCGCGGACCGTCGTCGTTACCGCCGTCGCGGAGACGTGGGTCGGACGTGGCGACGTCACGGCAGAGGCGGGACGTGGGGAAACGCGGAGGATCGATTCGATCTCTCGGATGTCAAACAGACGGTTTAAAGGTGTTTAAAGTTTTTGAGATGAGGATTGTACACGATTTTAGATATATGGATGGAAGTTGATCATCGTCCACGATTATCCATGTCATATCCATTTCGGTGCCAGTGACTCACAGGATAGATGAGGTTTCCAGGCATGTAAATACCCCTGTTCCAGCATGGTGTTTATGTCCACCATTGGAATAGTCCAAACCCTCTCATGACTTTGGAGTGTTCCTGGCACCGGTCATTGAAGAACTTCTGAACAGCGGAGCGTTTGGACCAATGAGGCTTTCCAGAAGAAGATGGTTCCACGAGAGGCCTCGTCAAGAGCTAGACCACTGCAGAAACTATGCGAGGCTGTCAATGAACGAAACCTGGCGGTGTTTTGTGTGTGTTTTTATTTTTGTTTAATAAGTCTCGAGGCAAAGGCCAAAAATGCAATGGCCTCGAGTGTTATGTTGTTGTTTTGCTTGGAGAGTGCCATTGCTCCATAAGTGAGGTTCTTAGTCCACGAACACTTGCCAGTGCCAGTTTGGAGCTTTTGCAGGCCCACAGCAGCCTTCGATCGGATAGAGTCTTTTGGGGCAACCTCCAATGACAGGTCCGCTTTGGCAAGGTGTTTTTCATTGCCAGTTCGCGCCAGTTCAGACCTCTAAGGAAATCTTGCAGCAGTGTTGTTGCCAGAAGTGCTGCGCTCCAAGGATCGCAAAGGGATCCTTCACGAAGTCTTGAAGACCTTTCGAAGCCAAAAAAGATGCAATATGGTTTTTGCTACCTTAGAAGTTCTTAGACTAGAAGGTGCCGTCAAGTTGACAGCCCCTGATTATACCATAGCGATGTCAATTCTCGGAATTGCCCAAATGTGGCAACAAGCATTGAAGTTGTTCGAGGCCATGCCTCAGGCAAAAGTGCTGCCAGATGTCATCAGCTTCAATGCAGGCATTAGCGCCTGTGAGAAGGGGGGG